GTGCACACGCACTCGGTGTGATTAAAAGCCACTGGATCTGGGACTCAAACCGTGGTCAACTACGTCAGAATTCAGCGACATAGCCATTATGCTAACTGCTGGTCCTGCTTATGCTTAATTTGGAAAAAAAAAAAACCCAGCAATAACACCAACTGCAAGAGACTCTAGTCTCTACAGATAGCAGTATCACTCAAATGTTCGAGTGCCAAAAGTATTAAGGTGCCAAGTAGAATTAATCAAGGATGTTTTTAAAAAGAGGTCAAATCTAAGCCAGTTTTTTAAAAAGATTTATTTATTTATTTCCATTTTTTTAAAAAATATTTATTTATTTATTTATTTTTTCTGTATTTGAAGAGAGAGAGAGAGAAAGGGAAAGTGAGAAAGCAAGCCACCAGGTCCAGGACTTGAACCATGGTTGGCCATGTGGGAATCCAGTGCCCTTATCCACCACACCACCTGCTGGCCCTATCTAAGCCAGTTTTTGAAACAGATTCAGGTTGATAAAAAGGAAGTGCTCAGTACAACTGAACTACATTACTGTCCAATTTTCAGTACCTTGTGCCCTATAAATAGTCTAAATTGCCAATGCACTTATGTTCCACTGTACAGCATGCAGTGAAACAGGCAGGAGACTTACAAAGCAAGTTGAATTGATTTTCTTTTTCCTAGGGTTTTACTATCCAAAGTAGCTGAAAAATTAATCTTACTATGTGTCATTTGACCTTTTTTAGATCAGTTTCTCACCTGTAATACAGGGTGAACCCACATACTATAATTAAGTAGATGTCAATAAACACAATTTTAATACTTATGTGAAAACAAGGCAAAGACTTCAGTAAATAGATATAATGAAGAGACAAGTATTGGTGAAGATGTGGAGAAATCAGAGACCAAATACACTGATAATGTATGATGAAAATATAATTTGCACTCCATGTTCATAGTAGCCATTATTCCTGTCAACAATCCAAATGTCCATGGACCAATGAATCGGTAACAAAAATGTGGTATATCCTTACAACAGAGTATTACTTAGTTGAAAAGAAAAAAGAATAAGGTAATGATACTGCTCCACTGATGAACCTTGAAAGCACTGTTAAATAAAACAAGCTAGGAACAAAAGGCTGTATTTCATATGACTCTATTCACATAAAATGTCCAGAATGGATAAACCTATAGAAATAGAAAGTAATTAGTGGCTTCCCCAGAGACTGAGAGGAAAGTGGAATGGGAACTAACTATTAATGGGTACAATTTCCTTTGAGGGGTGAGGAAGATGTCCTGGAATTAGTGGTGATGGTTGTACAACCTTGTTTGCACAAATACACTAAAAACAATGACCTTGTACACTTTGAAAAGTGAATTCCATGGCATGTGAACTACATCTCAATTTTTTTAAATGAGAGGAGGAAAAAAGACTACATCACTCACTTAGAAGCATTTCTGGGTCCTTCAATCAGTCCTGAAAGCCCACCCTTTGGAGCTTACTATAAACTTAGGAATAAAGACAGGAAGAATATTTATAAAAGCTGAAAAGAGTGAGATACTTTAACTCTGTGATTAGATGTCCATGTCTACCATTCCTATTTAATACCGCACTGGAGGTTGAAGCTGGGCGATCACCACCACCACTACTACTGCCCCCCTAACCACCACCAACAACAACAAAATGGAAGAAAGAGAAAGCATCCAGATTGGAAAGGAAGAAGTTAAAACTCACTTGCACACATAATTACCTGTACAGAACACTGACTTATGATCGAGTTTACATTCTGAAAAACCCATCCTAAGATGAAAATACCGTAAGTTGAAAATGGGTGTTTTGTAGACATGATGGGTGTCAAGACACAATATTTGTAAGATGCTGATCACACAGTATGCTGTAGAGTATCAGTTTACCCTCACGATCAAGAGGCATACCAGGAGTCAGAGCTCACTACCACTGCCTACAATTGCCCTCAACCTATCTGTCTCTAGCCTGGGAAGAGATTAAAATTCAAAATCCAAAGTAGGATTTCAAGCTTACATGTAGCAGGTTGCATCAAGTCCGAATAAGGGAAGTTAACTATGATCGTATGAATAATATTCTCTCCATCAACATCTGCGGGGCTGAGGAGATGTCCACAGGAGTGGGCAGCTCCAGGTAGCACTTCAAAAGCATAATCAAAGGACCAGCAGTTGGTGTAATGGCTATGTCGCTGGACTCCCATGTAGTCAACCACGGTTCAAGCCCCAAACCCAGTGGCTTAAACTCACGCCGGGCACGTGTGCATGCATGCCCAAGATCCTAAGAGGAGAATGGAAGAGAAGGAATTTGTGGCGTGGCCATCCCCCTGGGGGGTGATTTTTCTCTCTCTCTCTTTCTGGCAAGCACACGTGCCCTATGCCCTATAACAAAAACATCTCCAAAAAAGAAAAAAAAAACCATAAACTATCCTAAGTCAGGAACAGTTCATATAGAAAATCCTATAGAATCTACCAAAAACAACAACAAAAACAAACTAGAATAAATGTGACTTACAAG